GAAAGCTCCAGCCTACTAGCACTGTTTTTTAAAATCCATCGTGTTTTCCCTGGGGCAGTAAATTACATTATCTTAATTTAATAGATAGGGATGGAAGCACTCAGAGCCCCAGGGGTGGAGCTGGGAAAAGACCTACATCCCCCACCATTCAGAAAAATTTTCATTGCCAAACTCTTCTGCTTCAGCCCAAGCCTGATGTCTTGGACATTTTTTCTCTACTGTCCCTTAGCTATTTTTATTTCTTTTTACTTCTCCAGCAAGCAGAACTGTGAGTGTACCAGCCACAGCATCTCCATTTCAAATGGTTTGGCTCTCCTTTCCACAACACTATTTCCTGACTCTTTTTCCAGCCTGCAGCTTGCTGAGCAGAGGATTAGGATAAACTGAATCAGGCAGAAAAAGATTTTTTCCGGCTGGCCTGCAAATACTACCTTTTCCCTGTATGCTCAGGTACCGAGCAGCTCCCTGTTCCTGCCTTGTACTGGATACACAGAAACCTCCCGAAATTATGTGCATGTGCGCAAAGGGATTGTTTTGAAATCAAACCTTCTGAAGTGTGTCTCGAGCCCAGCTCAACTTTGGACACACTGTTGAAATTTGGATTTAATTAATTCCACTTGAGTTTTGAAATGGTGCGATACATTTTTCAGAGGGTTTTTTTCCCCCCCATTTCCTGGATCAGAGCCTCAACCACATTCATGGAAACACTGAAGGGAAAAAAAATCCCTAGCAATAATTCACCAAGTGGGAACTGAAAACATTTGCTGAAGAAGGAACCTCTTGGTCTTTGGATGCTGGGAATAATTCAACCTCTCCTCCCAATTCCCTAAGGCTCAAACGGCCCTTTTTCCGGCAGAGCTGTGGTTATTTGAGCAAGTTGCCCTGGGGACAAGTGCATGTTACTTGTAGGATTTGGGCTGGAAAGATCAAGCACACGAATTTGTAGGCAAGAAGGGCTTTGTGTTTTAATAACTGCCAACAGCCCTATAGAAGAGCCTGAGCTTGCAGGATGAAAAGTCATCCTTGGCAGAATCTAACTCAAATATCCTGGAAGCACACAGGGAACAGCAGACATCTCTGTCAGCATCATCTCTCTCAACAGTACATCATCTCACACGCCACAAATGTACCGACCCTGGATTCAAACAACCTCCACTCTGCGCTTCTCTCCCACACTGCTGGTTTCCTGGAGATGTTTCCCAGTGTATCATGTGCCCAGTCAATAAGGTTAATGTTGCTCAATGAGGAGCCCCTGTCTGCCCCGCACGTGCCATCTGCAGCTGTGCAAACAGTACCATGAAACATGGTGTACTGGAGTGCTGCTGCTTCCTCAGAGACATTGCAGATTTCCAGGGCAGCAAGGTGCCTCAGCCTTTGGGAAGAGGTGCCAAGATAAAATGCAAACAAGGATGGTGCCATGTGCTCCCAGCCTCCTTCAGGTGCAGTGAGTCTATCAGACCTACCTTGATTGCAATGAAAACCTCATGCTGGGGCACTGGAGGGTTCTAGCATTACCCTTCAACTTCTTTCTTCTCCTGAAAAGATGGTGTCAAGTTTCTGGGAATTACCTTCTTCCTCTGCCTCCTGGAACAGAATTCCAGCTGCATCACAGGGGCCTTGAAGGAGGCTGAAGAAGGCAGGAGATCTCAACAGAGAAATTGTACAAAATCTCTATCATTCTCTATTTTTCTGCAGAAGAGTATTAAACTCACTGAGTTGAATCCTCTCAAAGCACCCAATGCCCTCCGGACATGGTGGACGGAGAGGAGTCCCTCTTCACTCAGCCCCAGCTGTGATAGCCCATCTCTCTGTTGAGGTAAGGGAGGTTCTCCTCATTCCCAGACAGAGGCCAGCTACATCCTCGAGGACTACAAGAGAAAGTGGTTCCAGTTCCTGATGTTCAGCTACACCAGTAGCACACAGCAACCATTGCCAAATTCTTCTTGACAAACAGCAGACACACTCAGAACCTGAACTTCCTAGAATATTCTTATGTTGCTTTCCAAAAATCAAACCCCGGTCTTATTTACAAACAGAGTAGGAGAGTCTTTATGTACCAATCTGTCAGAAATTGGGTCTTGGTTAGCAATGAGCATCTTTGCAAATGGTCTGCAGGGTGAAAATGGGTGACCAAAACTAACCTGAACCTGGAGATAGATTCTGAATACTGGTCTGACTACAGGGACGGCAGATTTTGAAGTAATTGCTCTCTTTTTGAAAATCACTCAGAGCAGCAGAAAGTGTTAATGCGTGGTCATCACACAGCTTCCATTATTTAAGCTGCTAGCAGGTAAAAGAGCTGCCAACCTGCATGGAAAAAAACATCCATCTATTTCCCATCTGTCATATTTTCTCAAATCCATCCACATAAATCTGAATACACGGGAGACAAAGTATATACCATTGGCCTCAATTCCTTTTCAAAAATATACAGCATGACCAAAGACAAACCACAATCCCACAACTAAGCACACATTTCAGGACAGATGCACAGTACGACTATACTTTCCTTTACTGCTAAAAAGAAATAATTTCACCAGTTTTGTACACCTGTGTTTAGTGATTGCTGTGTGGGTCTCACTCCAAGATTCTCATCACCTTTAATGACTGCTGACCCTAAAGAAAACCAGCAAAAAAACCAAGCAAACAAACAAAAAAAAGACTGGACTGGATCCAAATTTCCAGGACTGAAGACCAATAGTGTCCAGTCTACATGCAATGGTGGCTGTAGATTTAAGTGCTCTGAGTGACATTTGGTGATGCAGACAGGAGACTGCAGTGGAGTCTGACACCTCTCTTGAATGGCCACTGGCTCCCTCCAACCACTGCTGACCCAGGCACTGGGTAGTGAAGGGGGATCTCTATTCCTCAGTAATGGAACCCAAAAGTTTAAGATGAAGTGTTGCCAGCTTTAACTTCTGTGAATTACTAGGGATTTGTAGAAACTTTAACAAAATGTTTTGCCACCAGCAAAATGCTTGTTCCTTGGCAGATAAAATATTTAGGTGAAAATTAGCACCTCAAAATGTAAATGGAAGACAACTGGAAACAGAAACAATCCATTTTAGTTTGAAGTAACTTTAACTCAACAGCTAAAAGACAAAGTGAAAAAAATTAAAATGGAAATGAGTTGAGGCTTTTACTCAAATCAAGATGCCTCTTAAATATCTTGGCATGAACAGTGACTTTCCCAAATCTCTTTATGCTGTTTATTTCTAAATACCGGATGTCTGGTTTGCTCAGAGTGTGTGTGTGTGTGTAAAGTATTTGCCTGACTTGTCTGCCCCAATGTCACAATAGCAGCACAGATTTCAAGAACTCCTGGCATGGGGAGAAAACACAGAAAGCAGACAAAGGGCAGGATAGAGAACAGATTACATTTGGAATTGCTTTTCCAGCAATACGGACTAGGGTTTTCCTCCCTTGCAGTTTTTGGGAGTCTACGTCACTTGCTGTGCCACCTGGCACAGTGTGGCAGAAGAGAATCAGCACAGAACACACAAGTGACGACTCAGTTTGGCTCCTTAGAGGAGCCAATGGTTTTGCACACACCCAGTTGGGTTTCTTCAGAAACCATTCCAGTATTTCTGGGGAGAGTCTTTGCAACTCAGGATAAAAGGTTGTCTGCTGTGTGTAAGTCCTGTGGGACAAGACATTGACTTCTCACAAAGGGTTTGCCCAGCACACTCCCCAGCAGGGCAAAGCCTGTGAGAGCTAACACTGTGGAACCACGTGACGTCACGAGGCATGTTGTTCCATCCTGTTCCTTCCAGCACCCCGACCGAAGAATCTCTGCTAATTACTGGTAATCAATTCCAGACTTTGTTTACAAGCATCAAATCTTCATCTTCATAGCAAAAACACTGCACCTAAGCTCAGCTAAAGATGCTGGTCATCTGCCATCGACAAGGCAAGAGCTGGCTGGGTAGGGAACACCAAGCCTCTGTTTCCTTCCACGTTTAAGAGAAAAGCCATATTCCTGCTGTTGGGCTGCTGCCAGAGCTACTTCCATCAAGTGAACCTACCGTGGACAGCAGACCTGTGCAGTCAAGAATTTAACAAGCCAAAATCTCTCCCGTGATATTTGGGCTACTAAAGACAGACAGCCCAGCCCAGCAGGTTTCCCCCAGCAGCTTGCTAAGCTGTCAGCCACGGATGCCCCTTGCTGTCTCTGCACACAGGCTGGCAGCACAAAGGGCCAGGCACGCTCTTGGACTTAACAAACCACAGAAAGCCCAAGCCAGCATGACAGCAGACACAAACAAGAATGTAATTAGTGCTGGATTATAAATCTCTGGCTAGGTACCTGGAAACACTTGTATTGTGAGAGAAAGCAACAGCCTTGCTGATGGCATTTGGGCTTAATTTAGGTCACGATTACAGACGGGGTGCTCTGAGCTGGCAGGGGTCAGATGGCAAATCAAAAACAGGCTCCTATTTGTCTTGCCTCCTGCTGCTAGCCTCACCTTTCCAGCCCTACAGCCCAGACAGAGGCAAGCACTGTTCTCTCCTGGCCAGCTGGTGAGCAGCAAGTGTGGTGCAATTCATGCTTACTCTGCTTGCACTGTGTCTGTCCATGGAATATGCTCTAAAGAGCATTTTTAAATCAAGAAAGCAGAGATCTCCAAACCAAGCAAGCAGAATGTGCAGGTCAGCTGCTGAGTGGGGAATCTGAGTTGAAGGAATGGGCCCTGGACACCCTTACACCCAGAGAACCCAGAGACTGACTTTTGAAAAGATCTCAGTGCGGCTCTGCAGCTCCAGCTCACAGCCTGGAATGTTCCTTGTCAGACAGGGTAACACCCAGACCATGGCAGATCCAAGTCCTTTACTGGCTCTCAGGCATATGCCAGCAAATAGGAACTAGCAGTGAATTTAGAAACTCCCTGCCAGTCCCAGAACCACACTGTGCCAGCTGCATCTACAGCCAACATGGGGCAGGCATGTGTGTCTGAGCAGTTTCCCTGCCCTGACAGAGAGAGGAAGGAGCCATGACTCACCCAAAACCAGAGAGCACATACCCAGCAGTGCACCTGTGAGACTCCAGACCTCAGCATCCCACCATCAGATCCTGCTGTCCCTCCTAAAGCATTTCAGGATTTTCTTCATCCTTGCTTGCGTAGGACTGAGAAGCCAGGGTCTGACCAGTCCAGGAGGCAATCCTGTGAACAGAGTGTGGAAGGGACTTTACAGGAGTATTAATAAATGAACTGACTTTTCAAAGGGCCAGATGGTGTTTGAAGTGTTAATGGCTGAAGGCTACTGTATGATTTAAAAGAGAGCTGGTGTGGACACTGGCTGGCTTTGTTTGAGGTCGCTTGCATTTCAGGCCCACCAGCTTTCATTCATCTCCAGAGAGGCATTTTTAGCTGTCACTTGAACTGAACCCTGACTGACACTTCATGCTGATTTTCTCAGGAGCTTGGTGGCTGGTCAGTCAGTCCTGGCAGGAAAGCAATACAAAACTAGCTGCAAAGGTTGGGATCTGATCTAGAATCCCTCTGAGTCCCTGCAAAACATTCCTCTGATATCAGTAGGCTTTGGATGGGGGCCATCACAAACAAGACATGTTCTAAAGTACATCACAGTTATTTCTATCCAGGAGAGCAAAACAGGTTTCTGAGGGAAAACTAGCAGCTGGAGAGGGAAGTGGGAGTCTGGTCCCCTGGCAGTAGCTTCTGCCTCACTGAGTGCTGTGTTAGCCGAGAAAGGACAATGGTCCCAGCTTTCTTACCCAAAGTTAATTCCTGGCCTCCTGGGAACCCTTGGGCTTCTGCCCCTATGTTTGGAGATTTTGAAGTGCATAGAGCAATCAGGATCCAGTTTCTCCTACCAGTCTGCAGATTGTATCATTTTATTCCTTTACCCCGCACTATTCTGAGTAGGTCTGTGAAGTACAACAAGCAGCACATCAAAAAGCAGGCAGCTCAGGTTTATTTCCAGCAAAGCAAGGCAATGAAAAGTTATTCAACTCTGCTCTCTGAAGCTCAAGATAACTTCCAAAGAACAGGCAGCTCAAACTACGAAAAAACTTCCACTGGAGCCCACACTTGAGAGACAGAAGACTATTACTATAACTAAAGCTCTCCTGGGGCAGAGTGGGTCAAGCACAACCATCTCAAAGCTCTTACCCTGCCATAGTGTCAGATGATTAATGAAGGCCTTGCCAGAGGAATCTGTGTGTCCTTTTAGCAGTTAACAGTTGGGGATCAAAGCTTTTTGTGCATGGAGGCTGTAGGAGAGAATTTGTTTCTCGTGCTGTTCTCCATGGCTCCATTCCCCATGGCTCTACACTCAGCCAGCTTGAAAAAGATGCTTCTTAAACCAGGTTACATCAGCACTCACGTGCCACAGCCAATTATTTCTCCATCAGATGGTTCCTAATTATGGGCAGTCACTTATTTAGTGCACAGACCTTCCTGCCTGGCAAGGTAGGAGGCAGACCTTGTCTCAGTGCTCTCAGTGCTTTCTGTGCCCAAGCAACATGGGGTTGCTGGGATGGGTCACACACAACAGACTACAGGGCATAGCACAAATTGTCAGGCAGGATTCCAGCACACAAGCACAGAATCCACCAAACATGGTCAGTGGTGAGACCCACTGTGTGACAGTATCCCTGTCAGTGCATCCTGGCTTTCAAAGAAACCTAGTTTAATCTGGATGGGCCTGTGACAGTGTTGGGGGTGCAACTCAGTGTGCTATGCTGGATTTGATTAAAAATATCCCTCTTTTACACCATTTATTGCTGTTTTGGAAGATGAGGCAGAAAAACTCCACAGCTAGTACTTCACCTGGACAGCCACCTGCAGTCAGTTGGCAGCTTCCCCCCTAGATCAGACTGGGTTAGGGAGTGACCAAACAGGTCACACTGGTCAGGCCAGCCCGTGGGAGATAACTGGAAATCTCAATGCATTTAGCACAGATGACGACAACCTGACTATAGCTTTGGATCTTCTTATAAAGAGAACTCTAGGCAGTTTGTGAAAAATAGACTCATGACAGTATTACCAGATGGTTTTTGGAAAGATGACACAGTTGGGAGAACAACCCACTGATTAGTTATGAACAGAATACCATACACTCTTCCTGTCTGCAGCCACTCAGACCCTGTGGCAACAGGCAAATGCAGCCTAAAGTATCATTTCAAGTCATTAAAAAGCTGACAAGCCTCAGTTTTTATCTGCCAGCAATTTTTCAATAACAAATTTAGGATAATCCTAAATTTTATTCACCCAATAATTATCAGTCTGAGGATCACTTACAAGCAACAGCAATGGGTTTGGGTATTCAAGACCCAGGTGCTTTGCTGTGGGCATGTAAAAGACAGCAGTCAGGTTTCTGAGGGAATCTTTGTGCTGTGATGACTTGCAAACCCACTCTAAACTACACAGAAAAGGTATTATTTTAGCCAATCTAGAAATGCACTAAAAGTACACAAGTAATCCAGTTACAGGAAGGAACAGGGCAGATGCCAAGCCTGTCAAGGGAACAGGAAGAAAGCAGAGATAAATGCAACTTATATGCTTTAAAAATAAATCAATACAGACAATCCTTGTTTGACTGTTTTTCCCCTCAACCTGCTAAAATATGCTATTAGCTCATTTACAAATCAGGCATTGATGGTTTATGGGCAAATTGCTCCTGGTTTGCTTCCCTTCACTCCTGAAGGTTGAATTTAATGGAAAAATTACTAAGAAGTTTATAGTTTGTTGTGTCTTCCAAAGTTACACGAATTTCAGCAAAAGCAAAATGTTTTCTGAGAAGTTTTCAATCCCCTCCAGCCCCTGTCAGCTCCCCACACCTCCCAAACAGATCTGTGAAAAAGGATATTCGTGGTAAATTTCCATTTGGATAAAGAACATTTCCTTAAAGAACAGAATGAGACACTGAATACAAAGTTCAGACTAATTTTAGTCGAAACACAGGCTACATGTTTTCACAAATTGCTTTTCTTCATCTAATTTCATATTATTTTTCTGCATTTTATTTTTAATGGAAAAAGATATTCAGATAAAAAGGACTTGGAGGGTCCCAGGCTGAAGCATACAGGAGTTTTGTATCTCCTGGGTGCTTTGCAGACCAGGGCTCTGTTTTAAATATGCATTACATTTATTCCAAACAAACTCCATAAATCAATCTGTGTAATAGAAACCAGAAAAGTTTATGCAAAACAAATACAGAAAGTCATACATACTGTGTTTAAGATGCCATTTTTGTGGCTGGTATTATTTCTAGGGTATGTTTTTACTGTTTGTGGGATAAATTTTTCAAAAACATTAAAATCTTTCCTCCCCTCCATTCTCTATAGGTTTATCCCAAAGAAATAACGAGCCGAGCTCTATAAACCAGCATTTATTAAATCCAAATGGGCACTTCATCTTACAGTAGCTTTCAATATAATCTATTTGATCTTTCAAAGTAGTTGGAAAATTATTTCAAGGGGAACTTTCACAGAACAAATTAACTTGAAAGAAGAGAACATTTTATACCCCAAAGAGGGAGGAAAGCAATTTCCTCAGTTTTTCGCGTTCTGGATTCCCCTCAGCCCAACTGCAGATACACATATTTGAAGAGACTCTCTCTGTGGTTGCTGTTGCCTGATCTCTGCAGCGATGCCAGAAGCTCATGGAAAGCAGGGCCACAGACTCGTGGGGCCATAAGGCTACAACCATGACAAGTTCATCTTTGGGGAAATTCCAGATTGCACAGGAGACGGGAAGGAGCAGACTCATGGAAACTAAAAATGGTTTGTTCTAGCTGCAATTAAAAACCTACCTCTTAAAAGCTACCCTCTGTATTTTTGGAGGGACTTTATTTCCTGCCTGCTACAGCTCTTCAAACTGCTTGTTAAGTCACTAGACAAAAATAGCATTGGGACCATAACCTGCTCAGCAGATCCAGGCACCTGCTAGTTTTAAGAATTCAAACCTTAAGGCATTAAAGGGACACAGTGAGAGGTTAAAGCCCCAAGGTAGATGGTGTGACAGTTCCACCAAGTGTTAAATCTATCAGTTGGCCAAACATGATGTCTCCATTCTCTCTCTAACAGCCCACTGTTGCCCTTTGGATTCATTCAACTCCTGCATGCATTAAAAACCCTTTCTGACAAGTTTTTCAAATTACCAGCAGGACATTGGAAATCTCCATCCAGTCTGAAAACCCTGTATGATTCATATTCATCAGTCCTATTTTATCTCTCTCTGTGCATGAGGAGGCTGAAGGAACCAAGCAGAGAATGGAACTGAGAAGAACTACATATTCTGGGTCACAGGAGTGAGACAGCCAAAGGAAGAAAAGACAAGTTTTCTGTGTGAATGTCAGGGGATTCAGGAGCAGCCTGGCTGAAGCATTTCATCCAAGGCCTGGATTGCACCATTCCCTACAGCACACTGTGCAGAAGGTTTCCATCTCAAAAGTCTACATTGCCTTGAAGGTTAGCAAGTTTACCTAAGGAGTGCTGGCTTCACCTTCCCAAGCCACATAAACTCCCAGGAGAAAAAAAATTAAGATTTTTAAAGGCTTTGGAAAAAGAGACTTCCTTAGTGTGTTCTTTCAGAGATCAGATATTTGTTTCATCCTTCTGGGGAGGATATGAACTGTAGTTTTCCTGGAAGCTGATTTCTTCTTTTGGGCTGAATTACTGTTTAAGCCACACATTACTGGGAGCTACAACACAAGATCTAAACCAGCATTCCCTGGGTTTTCTCTCATAGCTTCATGGTGTGGTGAGGGAGGGCTGAGGAACACTTTGTCCTTATTTTAGAGTTGAGGAACCTGAGGCGTGATGTGAGGACAAATATGTGATTGGGCCAGCATCACAGAACAGCCAGTGGCAGGTCCCAAAAGCCTCATTTTGGTACCCAAGCAATAAATGCCTATCCTGCTTTACTAATGATAGGGGTGCCTTTATGATCTGTGCCCTTCAGTGTTGAGTGAGGCTGTCTCTGCAGACAAGCTTTTCTCTGATTCCAGTGAAAGCTTTAAACCCCACTCAGCAGTACAGAAACCCTGCTGGCAGATGCACATGCTGAAGAAGTTGCCAGCACCTAGGCACAAATGTATGATCTGCCAAGAGCACAGACTTTATCACCTCTCACTGGACATCTACTTTCTCCAGCACCCAAAAACCTACGCAGGGCCAACAACAACCAAACTCC